GATATAGGGCAATTTGTTCAGCAGAGTGATGTAAGCTTCGTTATGATTGCATCATCCATGACTTCTAGGAATAACACGATGCAATTCATATCATGTATGACGCAATACCAGCTTCAGATTGCATCATTCCTTGTTTTGCCTAAAAAGCAAGTACTGTCCAAACCCAGTCATAGATTTATTCGTAGATCCAGTCAAAGATGTATTTTAGTCATTTCTGGTTTAAATTGAGATCCCTTCCCTTTATAACTCACTTATCCTCCGCCATTCCCAAGTCCAGGGTCGTATATACTGACCCAATAGCATATCTTGAAAACTAGAGGTAATCAACAATTTTAAGCATCATTTTTGTTCTCAGTGACCCAGAATTAGTAAAGTTTGACTACATTTATTTCAGAAGCATTTTGGCTGTAGAGCAGTGTAATAAGAACTAACTCTGGTATCTGTTGGTAACTTTTGATGGTGATCAGAGTTTCAAATGAGCTTATCTGTTTGCAGTTCATGGTATGTTGGTAGGAATATCACAAACCTCTATAATTGGCATAAATTGGCACCTGTATGATCATTTCTGCAGAAGCCGTTGATTGTATGAACATAAACATAGGTTTGAACAATGTAGCAGCTTGCAGTCCTGCTGCTTGAACTTTATCTGGTCAGCAGACAAATGTATCACTCAGTCCCCTCCATGTTAGACAGTCTTCACAGAGGGCCATTCCCTATCTTCATAGCAATTGGGGCAGACTGGATCTTTGGTCTGAGCCTAGCTTTAGGATCACTCCCTCAAGAAGAACTCGCCAGAATTTTCTGCCTCTAAGTGGCACACAAGACAGATTCCAGGTCTCCTTTGGAGCAGAGCTTGCAGAGAAAGCAGGAAAGGGTTGGTTGGTTGGAGCCTCCTTAAGACTCAGGGAAAGGTAAGATCTCTCCAACCTCCCAAAGCAACCCTCAGGAAGAAATTCCTACTCCTGGCCAGGACGTAGGCAAGATCCATGTTGAGATGACTGAGACGGCCACAAAGCATTCCCCCTTTCCACAAGTTGTTTTACCTGCAAGGCGTTGACTGCCATGAAAGGTGCCAACTCCTGTGACTTCTTGAAGTCACCAGTGAGTCACTTTTCTCTGGTGGCTCTGGCTCATTCCTCATTCAGTGAAGTTGACCCCCTTAGCCTGAACTCAGCATCAGGAAGCATCATTGGGTGAAATGAGTCAGATTCCCTTCCCTGTGTGATGGGCCTATCTCCTCTCCCCTTCCAGCCCCTGGGGTCCCACAGGAGGTCATAAATTATCTATTTTCTTTAGGGAGACTTGCCTGCAGACGGTCCTTTCAATCTTCCTGGTAAATCACTCTTGCCCCTCACAGGGGGGTTGGCCCAGTACCGGTGAAGGATATTGCTCAAATTATCTCTTAAAAGAGCAACATAAAGTCTTAAAATCTATTATGAGAGAGTCTCCCCTCTAGATCCTCTAAAGTGCAGGAGACCTCTCTAAAGTTGAGGTGGTCTGCAATGCTATTACAGGGCCTTCCATCCACACTGTCTCACTGACTGTAGAGTCAGTATCCTCAACCCGAGTGATGCAGGTTTGGTAGAGAAGGGCCTTAAGGAACAGGAGGCCTCAGTAGTCCTTAATTTCCATTTCAATAATACAGTAAAAGTTGTGTTATCCGGCACTTTACCAACCAGAAAGGTCTAGAAACCGGCATTTCTGATATCCATTAAAAGTCCGGTTGGCGTGGGGTCGGCAGGCTCCCTACCTGGCTCCATGTGGCTCCCCAGAAGTGGCGACATGTCCCTGCTGCTCCTAGGCTGAGGAACAGCCACAGGGGCTCCAGGCGTTGCCCCGCCCCGAGCACTGGCTCTGCAGCTTCCATTGATCGGGAACCGTGGCCAATGGTAGCTGCGGGGGCAGCGCCTCCGGGCAGGGGCGGCACCTGCGGGCGGGGGCAGCATGCAGAGCTGCCTGGCCGCGCCTCCGCCTTGGAGCAGCAGGGACACGTCGCCACTTTCAGGGAGCCGCCTGAGGGGAGCCCCTCTCAGATCTGGCACCACAAAGCCCCTCTCATGCCTCAACCCCCTGCCCTGAGCCCCTCCCGCATCCAAACTCCCTCCCAGAGCCCACATCCCCTCCCATGCCTCAGCCCAGAACCCTCACCCAAACTCCCTCCCTCTTAGTTAACTGGAATTTTTGACTTACCTGCACTCCCCGTTTATCCAACATGCCAGATAACAAAGTTTTTACTGAACATGGTTGAATTGTCCCTCCCTAGCGATGGTGAGGATGGCTTATTGCTTTCTGCATTGCACTGCATGGAGGGGATTGAGAAAGTGAAAGTTTTGCCTTACCTATGAACATTCATTCTAGGACTCCATGTCAGATAGTTTTGGTCCATGTAGGGATTGCATAGGGTTGTTTTGTCTGACTATTGCTCACTTGTTAAGTGATTTGAAGGGGAAGGATTCCTCCAGGAAGCCCCAAAATTTCATGTCAAGGCTCTGCTGCAAATTATTTGAGTTAAATAGCTCTCTTATATGGTTAGTATCTTTCAGCTTTGGAAGCTGTCCTGAAGAGTTATTCCTGAGGGGTGATCCTAAACCCAGACTCAGAAAAAAGATTTAGTTTGCCTCCAGAGAATGCCCCACTATGAGGACTCTGACATGGAGTGTCCTTGAATGAAAATTCACAAATAAGGCAGAATTTTCCCTTTCTCCAGCTTCACGTGTCTGTATGTGAGTTGATTTCTCTGCTCTGTGTTCTCCCCAAGGACTTATTTTTTTACCCCTTCTAATACTCATCAAACTCTGTCCTTCTGATTTTTGTTGGCCCTTCTCTGAAGGGGTGACCATTTCTTGCCCTCAAAGAATGCTTCTGTTGAGGAGGGAGGAATTTCTCATCTGTTGTCTTTATCAGATAATACTCATGAAGGATTTTGTCTAACATTCAATAACTTTTTAAAAAATGCAACCATCTGATGCATGTACTCCATGACCACAAATTTCACAGGATTATTTTTATTTTAAAGACAGCATTTATAACCTGTGACTTTGAAACTGAGATAAGAAAATTGAAGTAGGAGGGAGAATGTGTGCCCCATGATTATCTTGCAGCAAAACTCACTAACTTGTTGGACAAACTTAATCAGATGAAGCTGAGTTTTCTTTTTTCTTTTTAAGAAACTTGTATAATCATTCAAGAGCTCAAAAACTGACAGGAACAGGAGTGGAAATGAGACTTCTGTTCCGTTTCTACCTTTTCTCATGCAAATGTTGCTACTAATAAAGTTCAACTAACTACTTTTCAGGTGACTCAATATAGTCTTTCTAAAGACGTTACAATCTCTGTCAAACTATATTCTTGAGCTGGTAGTCTGAGAGCTCTCTTACATTATCACAGATGGGTTTTTTGTTTTGTTTTTTTAAAGTCCAGTCTGTTTGTGTATCACCTTAAGTGTATGACATAAAACTGATGAAAGAAGCAAATTTAAGGTAAAGTGTGGACATAACACAAATAATTAGGTGTGTAAATACTGGAAAAGTATCAGAGACTGTCATGTAAAAGACACAACAGCATAATATAAAAATCTTTCTTGTTTTTAGTCAGCATTTAACTATTTAAAAAAATGTATTTTATTTTTAAACACAAACTATCCACTGATTAAAGAACAGGAGTACTTGTGGCACCTTAGAGACTAACAAATTTCTTAGAGCATAAGCTTTCGTGGGCTACAGCCCACTTCTTCGGATGCATATAGAGTGGAACATATATTGAGGAGATATATATACACACATACAGAGAGCATGAACTGGTGGGAGTTGTCTTACCAACTCTGAGAGGCCAATTAAGTAAGAGAAAAAAACTTTTGAAGTAATAATCAAGATAGCCCAGTACAGACAGTTTGATAAGAAGTGTGAGAATACTTCAAAAACAGACTCCAAGGAGAGACTGCTGAGCTGGAATTGATATGCAAACTAGATACAATCAACTCAGGATTGAATAAGGTCTGGGAATGGCTGAGCCATTACAAACAT